GAGATTAGACATCGACACGCAGACACGAATAAGCTGAGCCTCAGGCGGCATTCTGTTATTGCCAATTCCAAGACAACGTTGAGTTCAAGACTTGGTGGGTGCTTACGTGTCTGGGTGGTTTGGTTGCGCAGCTCAAATTGGCTCGCAAAATTTGGCAAATGCTTAATTAGCAAAGTGACAAAACCAATTTGATATTGGACTTAACTTTGACCCATTACGCGATACCAATAACAATTTCATTAGCTTCTATAAGAGTGCTACAAATGCATATATTATTGGTTATTTATTAAGTCTGATTACCTTTTTTCATCTAGTGTATTTCAAATGATTTGTGAGGAAATCTTTTAAAGAACTCTTATATAAATTGTCTCTCTTAAATATGCTTATTATTTGGTGCCTAGATTTTTAATAACTGCAACCAAAATAATATATATCAAACTTTTTAAATCCAGGTGTGTATACAGGACTAACATTTAATTTTGAGATTTATTATTTTATACAGTGAAAAAAGGTTTTCAAAAATATAAATTAAATTTTGGAATTATTTAAAATTCAAAGTAGTCAAATTTAAAATTTAAACAGTAAACAGAGCCACCATCCTACGCGAAATTTTGATCAATAAGGAACTGTCTGAAGGACTTAACTTAAAACAAACTGAAAACGGTTTGCAGTTTTCAAAAACTGGGTACAGCTCACAGCTGCGAATCGGTTAACAGTGCGACCCAATGGGAACAGACATGCGCAGTTCAGATTCGGCAAGGAAGATGCAACAGTTTGCCCTTTGCAAGACATATAGCAAACTGAAAACTTGCCGAGTTGGTAAATGAAACGAAATAGACCTGAAATCAAATGTAAATCCCTTCATGAAACATCGCCCACTGAAACGAATCATTCCAATTTGAACTTTTGCCTGGCGCTGGCTGCACCGGTTCATGCCAATATAAAAAGTGGGGCTTATAAAGAGATTAAGTGAACAAGGGTGGGGGGGGGGGGGGGGGGGCTTAGCAATGTCAAATGGCGAATGCATATAGCACGCGAGGTTCCGGTGAGGTTTGCCAGACAACTTGGTCGAGCAACGAGCTTTATGTGTCATACCGCATTTTGTGGGCACGACTGAACGCGATGCAGGATACAAAGGGGTGCCAGCAAATGGCGCCAAAGGGCGTCGCCCCATTCTGGATTAATATGATGCCGTCAACTTAGCCTGAAGGCAGGCGCCAAAATACAAATAACTTCCCCCCTCGGATGTCTGGTTTGGCCTGCTTAACAGATTCTGTGTATTTGTTCACGAATGCGATTGACTTGGCTACATTTGTTTGTATATCAAATCTTTGCCTGTCAAGCGGCTTAAACGCTTTTTAAACGACCCACATTTGCATTAATCAATTAAAGCAGAACCCAATCAAAAATGCAGAACGTTTACATTAGCCAAAAAGAGGGTTAACATTTTTTATATTGTAGGGTTACTCCTCCTGTATTTTATCAAACATTGCCAGAGTTTGTAATGGCACGCCTGCCTAATGAAAGGCAAAACAAAGTCCTTGGAAGCTCAACTTTAGATAATCTAGGGAAGTGGGGATGAGAGATAGCTAGCAAGCATAATAAAAGGTGGCAACACTGTCATTCAGTGAAAAGTTGCTGCACTTTTGTTTGAATATCCTTGGCATTTTCATGCTTTTCTGGCCACCAAAGTTTTTTGTCCCCAGTGACATTTTAAGAGCGGTTTCCCACACCCCATCCATACTCGAATCGGTTGAAAACTTTTATGTTCCCCACATAGTAAGTATGTATTACGTACATATGTGCATATATACATATATGTAAGCATGTAAGCATGTAAGCGTGTGTAAGTATGTTCTTTGTGAACAACAGGGCAAACTCATGTCTGTGTCTGGCCTGTCTGTCAAAGTTTTGTGAACATTTGACTAGCTAATTTGCTGTAAAAGCTGATTTGCACATAATGGAAACGGCAACAGCAGCAGCAGCTCTTTAATGATCTCTTAATTGACTTTCAAATTCCAAACGGAAACCAATTAATTGCCATTTAAAAATATATTTTTCGTTGACTTGCTATAAATATTATTTGATGTATGCTGCTAATAAAAATAAACATTGGATTGAGTTTAATTTATATGATGTACATTTCGTGGTGGATTTTTTCACTGAAATCAGTACGGCTATAATCTAAAAAACAATATAATTGTGTAGTGTCCATATGGATTACTTACACATTTAAAATTGTGTAACGATAATACAAAAATAAAAGACTCATCTAAAGCGTCAATCAAAACTCTTTAAGCATGTCAGAAACTTAATGAAAACTTGTACATTACGTCGAAGTACGTGCAATTTATTAAAAGAATTTTCAGCTGCAACATTATATAACATATTTGAGTAAGATTTACGAGTATGAATTGAATATGCCTCAACCATCTTGCTGGAAGATTGTGTTCATGCAATGAAATGCAAATTCAATGAAATCAACATCTATCAGAACGAACAGCCACAAAACAGCTCAGCTCAGCCCAACTCTGCTTGTGACTATGATGATAATGATGATAACGATGATCATGATGCTGTTAAGAGTTACATTAGAATTGGGATGCTCCGAAACGAGTATGGCTGGATTTGCCTGACGCTGACAAATTCGATGGAATCGATGGGTGACTACCCCCACTGAAGGTAGTTGCAAAAAAAAAAAAGAAAAGAAAACATGAACGTCGTGTATTGAATAATTTATGGGCATGCTTATTTTCAATTCAGTAATGCAAAATATGTGCTTACCGTAATCATTGCACTGCCATATTGTTAATGTGCAGGTGAACATAATATTTTTTAAAGCCAACCACGTCCAGATCGGGGCAGTCGACCTTGATGGAGTGCGTGTTAAATAAGATATGAAATGTGGCCCATTGCTTTGGTAACGGAAGTCGATTGACGTACGCATAAATAAGCGGCAAGCTGTAATAAATTCCATGGACCTCACAGCAACAGCAACAACCATAACAATACCAGCAGCTTGCCAGTCAGGCAGGCAGGCATGCAGGACAAGGCGGATTATTAATATTTTCCATACTGCTTTGCAGCTTTACTTGTGCTTTGTTTGAGTTCTTGAAATGTGAGCACTGGCAACAGCAGCAGCAGCAGGAGCAGCAGCAGCAGCAGCAGCAGCAACATCAGCAGCAGGCGGCACAATGACCGGAGCCCAGGGCTAAAGCATGGAAATAAATCAGCTCAAGTATAAAAATTCACGTCAACATGCTGCACACACAAACCCCCTTCACAATACCCACCCCAGTTGAAGTGGCATCTGACAATCAACTGGTCTGTGGTCAACGGGGATTGGGCGGAGGATTTCTGTTGCTTAGAAACCAGGGCAAACAATGCTTGGCCATGTTGGCTTAATGAGTGCTGACCACAAAATCAACGAGTTAAGTCTTCTAAAAAATACAGCTTCTTGAGAGTCAGCTTTATATGTGTGTAGGTATGGACAATTCATAGCTCGTTTATAAAATATGCTCATTATAATAAAGTTCGCATTAACTAAAAATGTATTTCAAGTGACAATTTGGTGTTTGTTTTGCACACAGCTTTTGGCATGGAATTAAGTAAATTAACATTTTTAAAGTCCATTAAAATTGAAACTAAATAATATCACAAATTAATAAATCAATCAAATGTAAATTTCGACATTTTATAATACAAGCTGAAAAGTAAATGATTCAATAAAATTGATACGAATAATAAACAAACTCGTTTGTGGTTGCTTTCGGGAAATTTATGTTGACATTTTCTCATAATCCGCAACGCAATTGTCAATAAAACTTCACTTAAATACAATACAGATATTGACATTTCAAGTAATATCAATATGTCAATAGCGTGAAATGTTAAAGCGCAAATATAGTAAATGGTAAACTTTTAATTCCATTTGGGCATAACAAACCAACAAATAAATCAAAGTCATGCTGCGACCCGGTCTGAGCCGGGTCCAGCCAGACTGTGATCCGGGTCTGCAATTGCGGCAGCTGTACTGTCCAATGAATTAAAAGTAGAAGCAAACATATAACACAGACATGCGTACTACATGTGCATATATATATACATATATACATATATGTATTTATGGATGTTGCAAAAGTTTTCAATTGTGCTAGAGTTGGGAGCGTGATTTAAGTGTCGAGGTAGCAGCATTGCTGGGATGCCGGGGCCACTAAAAATTAATTCGAAAATATACAAAATGAAAAATGGAAAAATATTATTGAATATTTTAAATTGTAACCGAAGTTCAGCCAATGAGTCGCGCAATCATTTAAACATAAACATAAATATCAAACGCATTTGACCAAATTGTTTGCTGGCATTTTATCTAAATGCACAATCAATTGAAATTTGATTCAATTCAGTTGATTTTAGTTCCAATCTTATGCACTTTGACTCCACATCCTATTTGCGACCAGAAAGTTTTGTTTTGACATATACACTGAATTGGTGAGAACTGCCTGTGTTAGGGATTATACATTTTTTTCAGTCCGATGCCTGCCAAATGTTGATACGATGCCAGCGCCAAAATTTGGCATGCTGTTCATTTTTTTAAATCGTCCGGAATAGAAATATTTACCATCAGCCATATTTACAATGGGCCTAATAAGAAAGTGCAAATGATGGTGTATAAAATAAAGAAAACAATTCAAAATTAATTTGAAAATTCTTTAATTTAAAATCTTATAATTAAAATCTTATACAATTTACACATCTAGTAAAAAAAAAAACAGATTGCACGCATAACAAGATTTGAGCAACTCCATTTGGCATATAAGCCAAGTAGCACTAAAAAGTATGCAGCATAAATTAAATATTTTTTAATGTCAGAATTTATGCACCATTATTATTATATTCGTCTATAAATTTACAAATTTGTAAAGATAACATTTTATTTGATAGCACAAACATTACTTTTTCAATAAATTGACAAAATATATTGATTAATACGTATTGATTAATGTAAAATAAAATAAGTTTAACAATACTTTCACTTGATACCACTGTACTTGCCAGTGGGCCTTATTTATAAGCGCTAGGGTTTTGTTGCAGTTTCTCGTGTGACCCGTAAAAATAAAAACATAAAACATGGTGTAAGATAAAACAAAAGAAAAATTCTTGCGGAACACATTTCATAAATCTTTTCCTCGATTGAGCACAACCGCGACAGTTTTTTTTTTTAATTGTCGTTATTTTCGACGGTGCTTTTTGGATTTGTTTCACATTCGGTTTTCTCTTTATATCCTTTTTACACTATTTTGGTCTCACGTTCGGTTGACGCTTCTGTCATATGTTTTCTGCCAATGGTTAAGGGTATGGGTTGTAAGAGTTTGGAAAAGAATTATTGCTTGGACGCCCGGTAGGCGCCATGCGGCACTACAATCTTTTTTTTTCGGTAGGGGCCAAAACGTGTCTGGGGCTGGAATGGTTTGCCAAACGAGATGAACGATCGAGGCGAGCCACTCCCATATCCTTGACGCTCGCAATCCTTGAAATTTGGCAACGCAATGCGCCGCAAAGTCCTATTCAGCAGCCAGACCATCGGGCCAATTATACACAGAGCCAAACAAACCACCAACACGACCAACACTATGCGCCAGCCCAAGTCCATATCTTCTATATCGAAACGTTGAATTACAGGTATTGAGGGGTTATCATCATTTTCCATTTCTTTCATCAGATTTTTGCAGTCATAGGCAGACATTAAGTGCGGTATATGATAGTGAGGCACTGGTTGCTTATTCAACCACCATTCGTTCCACAATTCCAGATGCTTATTGGCAAGTAGGCGATTGCAGTGTGCGAAGATGTCACTCATCCATTGTTTGCACTCGGCACTGGTAGTGTTTTGTTTGCAAATGGAAATCATTGTGAGTTTATCTGGTGTATGATTTTCAACTAACTGTTTCGATGCCTACTTGGCTGCCTGCCCAGCTATACCTCAGAATCGGTCTGTTTGCTCCGTCTGAGCCAATTCGCCCAGCGCATTTTGCCGCGTTTTGGGCTATTTGATGGATGGCTATTTGTTGTCGCTAAGGGTCCATAACATGTTGGCATTTTTCCGAGGATATCTGTGCAGTCGCGCGCAGCCTGCTGTATATTAATGGTTATCGATGTCTGATCTTCATCCATTGAGCTTTGTTCTGATTGGTCGCTTGTTGAAGCTTCTGTTTCCTCGGAGGTTAATTCATCTGGTATTAAACTCTCACTTGATTCCATATTACTTGTTTCGTCTGAGTCTTCAGTTTCGAATATCATATTCCGGCCTGAGGTTTTAATTGCTTCCATTTTCTTCGTTTTCCCGCGGAACCCTTTCACTGGGAATCTTTTCCAAAAATGTGGTGGTACAAACAGCTCTTCTGCCTTGCTGGCCACACCACTCGGTGTGTTTCCTGAAGTTGCGCACTTATCGCGCAGCTGTCGCATAATACTCTCCACTGATGCATGGCCGCCAGGCTGGCGATCATCGCAAACCTTTACTTGTTCATTCGGAAACTCAGGACGTTTCCCAAGCACAAAAGCCCTTGCCAGCAGCCATACAGTGAGAGCTAGACAGAATATAACGAAAAACATCAGTAAGAGAATGGTCATGGGATTTACATCACGATTCACTTTAAAGAGGGAAGCCTGTAGCTCCCGTTTCAGCCGTTGACATTCATCAGTTGTCATTAGTTTATGGCCGGCATCGCTACTGATGTGACCCTCATCCTGATCCAGATTCCAATTGGGACACTGACCGCACACTTCACGCTGCCAATGACTACAGTCGGCGCTCTCAGGGTTTGTTTTACATATCGAGCTCAAACTCATCTTTTTTCTATTTTGATGTATGAAATATATATAGAAATTTGTAAATGTGAAATATGTTTCAATTCTAAGTGGAGCACAATTTTTGGCACATATTATAGAGAGTTTTTAGAACAGCGGCAAATTGCTGGCAAATAATAAAATTGAATTTAAATTTATCGTTGCGCTGTGAGTTTTTTTTTTTAGAAAATAAATGTATTTATTTAAAAAAAGAAACATTTAATGAAAAATGCTTTGCGCAAAGCTTAAAAATGTGGAAACATGCAAATGCGCATAAATTTTCTTTTTCCGCTTCATGCGGCCGAAAAACTTTCCACAGAGTACACATCTCCATGTAATTGTATATATATATAATATTTGCACGATACTTTGTCCAAATGGTATTCCAAGGGAATATATGTATACTTATATAAATAAATAATGTAAACAAAAATCAGTTTGATTTAGTAAGTAGCATCATATCACAAGTCCAATAATATACAACATAAAAGTATTTATTAATTTCTAATATTGTTGAAGCTTCCAGAACACACAGGTGAAGATTATATAAAATAAAATTAAATAAATTACAACATAATAGCAAAAGCAGAAGAATTTTCTCTCAAAATATTAATAACAATTTCTTTATTAACTACTTATTATCTTATAATATGGTTTAAGTTTACAAAAAATCAAAAAATAACCCAAATATGTTAACTCGACGACATGATAACCTGAAACCAGTTGTAAAATATATTTTATGCTAGTTGTATTTCCACACATTCGTTTAAAAAGCTTTGTACACTCAAGTCTAACCACGTGGAATTGCTCTAATTTCTTATAGCCAGCACAAGTATATATGCATATTAAATGGAGTCGGAGATGAGTCCTTCTGCCTGCATGTTGCACAAAACCCATTTTCAATGGGTGTTTAAAAATATTTGTTAAATTTATTAGGTAGCCCAATGTACTCACAAAATCATTATAATTCTCACTGTCACTAATTATTATTTACGAATATATTTACCCAAAATCCTAAATAGAATGAAGGCATTGCATATACTCTAAAAAAAAGAGTGAGAAACTACAGATTTCTGTTAGGTTGGATATATTTTAGGAAAACGCACTCATCTGCCATCTTCTGTTTGTTCTGCAGACTTTTGGTAGCAAGTGGAAAACTACTTCAACCAAATGTGCAAGCGGTTAGGCCGGAGACAGGGGTAGACTGGTAGCAAATTAGAATTTCTTGTCATGGGTGGAGTCAACACGACGCTTCGCTCGGCGTGTCAAAAAGAAAATTGACATGGAAGAATGGAATTTGCTCACCGGCAGAGATCCTAATTTCGGGTAACAAGGTGCTTGTTGCCATTGATGGTTGACAGCGCACCCGTGACTTGCCAAATAGCATTAATATATTGCCTTTTTCCCTGGGCCTTTTTCCCACATCGGCAATTATAATTAGATGTGGTCGCTTTGAGCTCAATTAAAAACCACGTGGCTCAGCGAGCATGGCGTACATGCCCAAAAAATTGGGTTAAAATGTTGTGGCAGAGATGCGGTGGTGAACTTATACTGCTTGAAATTGTTTCGGTTTCAATTTGCGTTGCATTTTTGGCTGGCAGTGGCGGATACGTGACATTTTGCCTATATTGAAATTTATGCATCCTCGAATCGAATCCGCACATTTACAAACATTTTTGCGCAAAAGTTTTCATTTTCGTGCCAAAAATGTTCATCGCAATTTGAGCATCCGCGCCTGCGGTTATAAAAACGACCCAACCACATAGAAACCCAACCACCTTCTCAGAAAGACCGCCAATATATCCGGCAGCAATGCGGAGGCAAATTGGTTTATTTTATTCGTATTGACTGTTTCTCGTTCGGTTGGTCACTATGTGTGTCTGTCTGCCTGCCTGACGGTCGCCCACTGTCGGAAGTATTTGGCAATTTGAAATTAACATGCAATTCGATTTGTTTAGAACTCCAATTAAAATATTTTTATTGCTAATTTTCACAGGCTGCTGTACGCGGATATTCGCCACAACCATCCAAAAATTAATGGTGTTGAGTTGGAGGTGCTTTAGCGGATTAAATTGTACTAAAATTATCTGCAAATTTATCGGAAATATCTTAAAACTTTAATTAATTACATTTTCATGTTCATGTAACGCAGGGTGGAAATAAGGCAAATAAAATAAGATACTGAAAGTTGGTGAAAAGAGGTATGGAATGACTATAAATTGCATAGTAATCCCCTATTAGCGACAGAATAAACAGCTCCAATTTGAATGCCAAAAAATTAACTCAGCAAAAATTTCCTTTAGTAAAGTTTCTGATTAAATGTTATTAACATGTACAAGATTTGGAATTAAAACAACTTAATCAGACTTAAGTTTCAATTTTGAGTTAGTTTTAAATATAACGTAAAATATAAAATCTAAAAGAACAGAAATATTCAGATATTATCGGCTTGTCGAACACTGAATACCCTTGCAGGTACAAAGAAGAAAATAAATATCGCTTTCAAAAAGCAAACCAATCGAATAAACATGGAAGATTATTTCGATTCAGTTCTTCGTTCACTATATATAAAGCAATTAAGCCGATTGCAAACATTTCCAAAACGCTTTTGTATTTGCGAATGGCTCTTAGAGCCCGCATCGGTATATTATTTGTGCGTCAATTGGCAATTTGCTGCTAACAGCTCAATAATCCGTTGGCACATGCCACTCATTGGTTATGGCTTAACGCTAGTTGGCGGTCGTATACCTTGTTGTCGATGGCTTTCTGGCTTTCTGGCCAGAAAGGTTCCAACACCTCATATGCGACTCTGGCCAAATTGAGTTCAGGCACCAAGCTCTAATGAAAACAAAAAGCACGAAAAGCTAGCCATTGGACTTGGGCAATGAATGTGGTTATTTCACAAACCGGGCGAGTTATTACTCTGGTCTGCCCTAATCACATGGATTTTGAATGCATGGCTGAAAACAGATTATACTGGGTAAAAAAGGAAAGAGAGAGAGAGAGAGAGAGAGAGAGAGGGACTGAGAAACAGCGCAGAATTGTAAGCGCGAAATGAATGAAGTGAAAGACATGAATGGAAAATGTCAGACTCGAAGCGCATTCAAAGTTTCCCAAAAAAGAAAAATGCGAAATGAGTTAAATGGGTTAGCGGTTGCAGCCTGTCCGACTATGCTTTTATGGCTATGAATGTCAATGTGAGTACCATCAATTTTTGGCCCAAGCTACGCTGCTAAGAGTATGTATTTCTGTTTGTATGTGTGTGTGTGTAATCAAACCAGAAACCTCGACCTTATAATCATAGAAAGTTGTATGTAGTTTATGCGTGGCTACATGCAGGATTCTGACCACCAGGCACCAACAGGCAGAAAATGCCGAAATGTTTGCCCTCATACCGGAAAATGAACTATTTCCACATTTTAACATCTACCATTTGCAAAATTTCAAATTTCAACTGGGTTTTGTGCTCTGCTGCTCATCTCGGCTTTTCATTTTAAGAGCGAGCTGGGTTTCCTTCTGAAATACGTGCTCATTGCCTGCAGATGTACTTTTGCTATAATCATTTAATTCCAAATTGCAGTTCTAATTGGATATAGACACAGTTGCATTCCACTTTTGTTCTCTTGCACCTTCTATTTTGAGGAAATTAAAATTTCAAGTTCCTAGGCATATTTATTAGATCAGTGTGAATGCCAAGAAGTGCAAAAACACATTAAGAAGGATTAAAGACTTGGCTGTAGCACAAAGAGCCTTAAGTAATTAGTGTATATTGTGTGTGAAACTTTAAATTAAGCATATTTTACTCTTAGGTGTATTTGTAGTGTTAACTTTGAAGATTTTAAATAACTTTCGTGATTTTGTGGCAATTAGTATCTTTTTCTAAGCAACTCAATAAGGATAAATGGAGTACATTTAGCAAAAATGATAGTCCGTCAGGTGTATAACCATTTCTTACTTCTCATATTCATCGTAATCCCTCAGCATGCCAGCTCTTTACTCGACTCACGTTAAAGTATGGTATTGTTATTGCCTAGATAGCTTGGCAAACTTGCGTTTCCTTCTGCCTGTACTATTCACGCCCAGCCACGCCACCTTTTGCACTACGGATTTGCGCGTAAATCCATTTTGAAGCGAGGGATTTTCATGCTTTAAGTTGCGCCTGATGTGGCGCCTAGCGCCATGGAGGATCACAGCGCTTCCAATTGCAGGGTTTTTACGTGCGGCCGTGGCAGACAGGACTTATCGGAGTTGTCTGGATTTATGTTGAGAGTGCACAATGTGCTGATTAGAATGGTGTCCAGCCATGTTCTACTCTGTTGGCGTCTGTCTGCCTTGTGAGATTAAAAGTGTCGCTTATTCAAGCTTAATTTATGGCGACACATTGAAAACGGAATGCGGAATTCAAAAGAAGCACATCTGCACTTGGCCATTTAAATTGAGAATGTCGTGAATGTTGAAATTCATTTAATTTAATCGAAACTTTCACTCGCCGCAAAGCACCGCAAGGCTATTGACTTGATTTTAAATTTTATATATTTTTTTTCATTGCCTATTGTATGTCCAGTGAATTTTCATAGATATTTCTGATGGCGTGTTGAGGTCGACGTCAATACAGCTGTGCAAATTTCCATGCCGCGACTTTTCCTATCGCTTTCTCTCTCTTATTATCTCTCTCTCTCTCTCTATCTCTGTCTCTCTCTCTTTGACAAAATACAAAACAGAGAAATTTAATGAAATTTCAAATTGCCATTCGCTTTCTATCTCAAGCTGTCAAGCTTCTGTCTGCGTGCCTGTCTCAGTGTATCTGCGTGTGTGTCTGCGCAGATGTATGTATGAGTGCGTGTTTGCGTGTCCTGGCCTGTCTGCTCAATGTCCTTTGTACTCCAGTGACAGCTGCTCATTTCACGCTTGGTAATTTCAATGAATTTTTGCCAGCGCTTTTTGAGCCACATTTCCATCTCATTTGTATGTCGCTTCATTAATTAAATTTTTCGCTTTTATTCAGTTCATATACATAAATAAATAGTTTATTAAGATACCACTACCAGATCCCAAAACAAACTAATGCCAAGCCAGCCATTAATATCAAGTGGTTCTACATAGATTGCATAATAGAACACATCAAAGGAATTCTAATAATATATACAACTATTATTTCTCTTTATTAGAACTTATTTATTTTTGTATCTTTCTGTCGCTTGTCTCGCCCTGTCTCTCGGTCGACTAGCAACGAACTTAAGACCATAATTTCAATCTAAGCCAGTTGAAATGATTTTCTTATGCTCATTGATTCGTGATTTTCAACTAGAATTTCTATGACTTATATTTAATTTTCTATGCTTTTTGGTATTTCTTTTCTTTTTTTTAGTGGCAATCATTTTGCTACGCATCTCTTTGTTTAGTTGTGTGCGCCATTCGCGCCAATAGTTTTGTATTTTTCTAGCGGCCCGATTCATCATATATAAATTGATTTTGCTCTTCATATTGTTGTTTAATCCCTCCTCGTGCTGTGTAACAATATTTTTGTAATTTTTCTCCTCTTTGTGATAGGCAATCACTAATGTCTCCATCGACTTTTGCTCCCCTTCAAATTCATTCTCCAGATCCAAATGCTCGATCATTCTCTCACCGATTGTGTGATCGTATTTATTAATTGCACTCTGAAGCTGTAATTCCAGCTTGTTTCTGTTGATTAAGGTTGTTGCTGATATTAGTAATGTAAGTATACTGGAAGGTATGAGTATGTGTTTTGCCTTCCGACCTGCTCATTTTCTCTTATAGAAATATATATGAATATATATTATCTTTATATACCTTGAACTCAGTTAAAAAAATGTTTTTTTTTTTTGTTGTGAAAAGCATGTTACAGGTGGAAAGATGTGTATACATTTTTGGTCAGGATAAACAGGGGAGTCGACGAAGCAATCCAATCCCTGTCGATGAATACGTGTTTCTCAGAGGCTATAAGAGATATAAACTTCAAATTTGAAGAATAAGTTCTGGTTTCATTTGATCGTTATCTAAGATTAACATGTACAAATATATGTAGATATATGCACGCGTTTGTCGCAAGCCGATGACTTTATTGCCGGTTTGCAAATAAAAATATACTTCGTTTTTCACAACTCCTTCCGGCGATAACAAATAAGGGTAATTTCACACTTGCTTAGGTTTGAATGTGCTCAAATTTTCAATTAGAAATTTGGCAATAAAACTAGAATATATAAAGCAGCATGGTATTTCGTAGTCGAGCTAACCCGACTAAAGCATTCTAATTTGTTTTATGTTTTTATTTACTTCAACTTACTTTTCTTGGCGCGTACGCATTTCAACGCGTCGATTCCTTTTTGCTTGCTGTTCATAGTTCGCACGTAGACTTTGCAACTCCGTCTCCAGCACTTTTATTCGCTCCAAACATTTTTTTCGATTTTTGCGTATTATAGATTGACAGTTTTCGCTGTAGAGCAATGGGAACAGAGGAGATTAAGAAGTTGAACTAAGAAGTATCACAGTTGTCAACACACACACACACACACACACACACACACACACACGCACACACACACACACACACACACACACACACACACACACACACACACACACACACACACACACACACACACACACACACACACACACACACACCTTTCGTTGAGTATTCGCTTTGCATACTGTGCTTTCTTCACGCTCATCTTCATTTCACACTTTTGCACAAACACGGTTCTAGCTGCCATTATCCAACGCAACTGCACTTTACGTCTACTCAGCTTCCTTAGAAGTTCATCGATGTTTTTCTTAACTTCTTCATTCCCCTTGTATAATTTATGCAGCTTATGCTCGCTGGCCAGTTCATGCTTTGCGGTGCGTTTCAGATGGCTCAGGGCGATCTGAAACATCTGCTCGAAGATGAACAGCAACTGGTTATCCTGTGGTGTCATTTCATAATCGGGAAATAGCTGTCTTATTTGAGGATGACGCTGAAAGTAGTTAATTATTTTAATCATGCCGTCATCGTACAATGGATGTCGTTGCTCCTGAACGATAGTATCACGTCTTCGTACATAGTCGGCAACCAGTTTCAGGGCTGGCTCATATTCTGTACCAGTTAAAGCCTCGACCAAACTGCTCGGCTTAGCCAGCAGCTTTGGCAGCAGCAAAGCTATCATCAAGCAATATTTCGAGTCCTGCAGAACTTGAAGGACACAACGTATTTGTGCACCTCTATCACTATCTAAATGCTGCAGAGCTGAGATAATTCACATTTTCAACAATTATCTCTTACCAACCTTCAACAAACGTTTCAATGTCATTCAATTTGTGCAGATCCTCGGATGTCCTTGACAATGCGAACATTGACGTCATCGCCGTTGTGTGTGAAAAAAAAAAAACAAACAAAAAACAAATAATAATAATAATAATATTCGATGTGTGTTTGCCGTAAAGCTACAAAACTGTCTTTACAATATGCATGACTGACTAAATGTACAATTTATAGGACTACTCCGTTTTAGCCAACAAAATGTTATTTTTCTTAAATACAATTCAGCTCAAATGAATTTTAATATTTCTACAATTTTGTCTAGTTTAGGAAATTTTCGTTCTTTTATAAAACTATTATCTATTTCTTCTTCGCCCGTTTGTTTTCTTTCCTGGCTTTCTTTGCCATGTGCCTACGCCACGCTCGCCAGTATTGCTGAATCTTAACAGCGGCTCGATGCATCATGTATTTTAATATGGCAGCTTGTTTTCTACGTTCTTCCTCCTTCTCGCGCTTGACCACAATCTCATTGTAGATGGCAGCCTCCATGCGATAGATGACCATAAAATCGTCTAGCGCTTTCTTTGCCTCATTCAGTTGATCCATCAGCTCCAGATTTTCAACTATTTTCTCTCCGATTACAGTATCGTATTTCTTAATAATGCCTTCCAGCTGTATTTGCAACTTGTTCCTGGTGTATAACAATACACTCATATGGTTAAATATGTGTATTACGAGCACTTACTTTTCGTCACGCGCTTCCTTTTCCAATTTTTTGTAATCTTTTGTTAATTTTTCGTTGATGAATCTTTCTTTCTCCACCTCTTCAACCAGTTCAACTTGTTTTTCCTTACTTTCTTTTTCATTAGCGAGCACAATGCGACGGCATCGATCCCTAGACCAATAACAAAAGTAATATCGATTGTTTATTTGCTGTCTCAGGCGCACTTACGCTTCACGTTGAATAATCTCCTCATGACGTTTTACCTTAATCCTCATATCTTCCTCGATTTTAGCCATCTTAGCCGCCTTGCTGGCCGATTTCCACTGTTGCATAACTTTGTATGCTGCCTTTTTGCTCTCAATAATTTGCATATCGCCCATCAGTTTCTCCTTATCCTTGCACACACTCTGTAGATAGCGCTCTTGCTGAATCTGCGTCTTCGCATCGCGCTCCAAATGAGCCCTGGCCATTTCCAGCAGCTTGGCAAAGGTGTTGAGAAACTTTCGGTCCTCTTGGGGCATGTAATGCATATATCTTGGAAACAACTGGTACATCGAACTGTTGCGCTGAAAGTAATCAATAATTCGAATCATGCCATGATCTTCCAACGGCGGTCGCTGTTCCCTTAATATAATGTCACGTCTGCGGAAAAAGTCGTCCAACAGCGGAATGGCTGCCACGTATCGCGTACCAGTCACCACCTTAACCAAAGTACCACGATTTTCAATTAGTTTCGGCAAAATCAAGGAGATCTTCACGCGCTCATACGCATCCATCATGGCTCTCATCACATTTTCAATTAGTGTAATTCGCAGCGAGGAGAAATCTATCAATGAAAATGTTTCATCAAGAATTCAATTTAAAATTACACATTTACCTAACTGAGCCATGTGAATAGCTTCGCGGATAACCGCAATGTCATCATTTTGTGGTTTTGACATTTTACTAAATACAACTATTAATACAATATGCTTCTGCCTATTTTATTGAAATGTAACTGTAATCATTTTTATACAATCTGCCTGAGCTGAGTAAATAGTTTAATGGGTTACTTGGTTAAAAAATGAATACAGTAAAAAAAAATTAAATCTAATTTAGTCCATTCAACTAGTAGATTTTAAATTACGCACAATTGCATTAAGTGTTTATTATATATTAATTACTGTGATTACCATTCAATAAATGCATTCATCAAAGCTAATGTTAAGTTGTGTATTTTTTATATATCGCTTATTGTTTGTTAATTTTGATTACATTAAACAGAATATTGCATTTAAATGCATTAAATATTTCTTAACGTTGTAAGTATCGATAATCTTTTTTGTATTCAGTTATAAAATTGCCCCTATCGAAATATGCATATTTATTTAATATTATGCGTCGGCTGTATATCCATTTGAAATATTTTATTTATCGTCCATTGTTATAAGACTACACAAAAGTAATAAATATCAGTATCTCTATAGTCTTTGATCAAATTCTCGGCACGATGTGTAATTTAATATTAACTTTTTGCCGCTTATGTATTATTAGCAATTAAACTTATTTAACCCCGTTTGCCCAAAGCATACGATGTTGTTAAATATATATTTATATGTATATATGTATGCATAAGTGATGTCTATATCAATGGAGTCGTATTCCATTACGAATGCTGACAATGACGGATTTGCTTAGTCTGAGCTGGCATTCATTTGGTCAGTTTATGGAATAAGTTCATAAGCTGGGGTCAGGCGTTCCCTGCGGGCTAATAACTGTATGCTAGTCCATCAGTGAATGTTTTCCATTAGAGTCCTAAACATAATAGAGCAATATTCGCTCGCCATATGACGCGTCGAGACAATTGGCTTGCTAGCTGGCTGGGTGGGTGGTTGACTAACTGACTGTTGACCATATGGTGCTGCATCTGCAATCAGATGTTGAATCACATAAATTACTTTATGATGGGATCACATGAATCTGGCAGCGGGTGTACAAAAACTTTCGGATGGCACATGTGGTCACGGAGTGAAAAAGTTGAGAGTTTTCGCTTTTGCCGCACTACATATTGCAAGGAAGCACCAAAAGTCATTCCGAAGTTATTATTTACCCTTTCCCTATCCCTTAGACGGCAATGTTTCGCTGGCCTTTGTCTTTTGCCAGTCGCCAGTTGCCATTTGCCATTTGCTTGTCGCTCCATAAAAAACGAGGCGAGAAAACAGAACTTTTTAGTTATTTTCGGACTGGCAACTTTTTCGCAAAACTTGATTCAACAAAGTTATTTCTTCTGACCCTTACATTTTACTGGACTATTTCGGCAATTTCGTAAATTTCTTTAAAATTGAATACCAAATACTGCATGGGTGGCAAGGTAGTTTCGTGTGTGTTTTATTATATCAAGCAACTTCGCTCTCCTTCAATCAACAAGAAGTTAATCTCTATTTATCTGTTATACACTTTGTTTAGTATTTCTCTGCCAAACAATTCTCTTTGTCAAAGTGTATTCCATAGTCGTGACCATGGACTTTGGGCACTCTTATTTGTTTTGCACAAGTTTGGCGTTCTGTGAAATTGTCCACATTGCAATTGCATATAAATCACAAAGTTTGCAGTTACTTTTTACAAAATATTATGCAAACTTGTAGGCGTAGGCTGCATTTAAAATAAGAAAATGCAAGGTACAACTTTAATCGTTTCGACCAAACACAGGCTGAGAGTTAAAAGTTAAGTAAAAAAAAAATTCACAAAGGCCCCAATCAAATGACAACAATTTCTCTGCAAGCTATGTTAACTGATCCCTCCTAATTTTTAGTATATAAACGCCACTGACACTTTCCCATCTCTCGGAATTAAATATATCACTGTTTGACACATTACTAGAAACAATTTCAGTCATGTCTCATAGAAATACTGAAGAGTTCAACAAGGTTTACAATCGCAACGCAAAGAACTCCTATAACTGAAAACAATTCTCTAGGAAATGACTTCAGTCAGTCAGGAGTCAGGAGCCAGAAAATTCAAGTGGTGAATACTGTTAGACTTTGACGATAAAGAGAAGAAACCTGAATACTGCAGTAATTTTTATAGTTTACAAACATAAGTATATAAAGAAGCTAAAAATTAAATCCATTATTTATTGCTGCTATTTCAAAAACTTTAACTTTATTTTTTCGATTTTTCGAATCAATAGCTCCTGGAATTGTAGCATATTTTTATTGTGCTTTTTCAATCCAAAATAGTGTTTTATAAAATTTGACGTTATGAAAATCGAAGAAAATCCACGCTACAAGGCAAAATTAGATAGAGATAATGCAAAGAGAGCTGAAAGGGATGCTGCAAACGCTGAAGGATATGACAGCTCGAAGCCGCCCAGTGATGGGCCGCAGAGGCCACCCAAACGCAAAGAAGGCAAAAAATACCTGAAAACAAGTATTTAAATGAAATTTATGCATAGACCTAGTAAAATATTCACTTACCCTTATTGTAGCTGAAGAGCAACAGAATTCATCATTTGAGAAAATAGCAACGATTTTGTCCTACCTTATCATAGTGATCACCTTCCCGATCTGTTTATTTTTTTGTTTTACAGTTATAAAGGAATATAAGCGAGCTGTATTTTTTCGCCTAGGCCGAGTGAGGTAATATTCGATGAACAGATTGGTTATATTTTTATCTGCAAGATCCTCTTCCAATCAGGAAGGGCGCACGTGGGCCGGGTCTGGTATGGTTTTTGCCTTGCATCGATAACTACATACTTGTGGATCTTCGCACCAGAGTCGAGGTGATTCCGACTCAGGAGATGCTCACTAGAGACTCTGTGACGATAAGCGTCGATGCAGTACTCTTCTATTATATCGAGGGTTCACTGCACGCAACTCTGCAGATCTCCAATGTGCACGAATCCTCAATTTTCATAGCACAGACAACGCTCCGAAATATTGTGGGCTCTAGGACCCTTCATGAACTGTTAACCTCTAGGGAATCTCTATCTGAGACGATTGGAAACGCCGTGGATCATGCTACTGAGAAATGGGGTGTGCGAATCGAGCGAGTTGCGCTGTAAGCTAAATGGTTTTAGACTTTGTCTGTTATTTCATGCTTTGCTTTGCCAGAAAGGATATTAACCTGCCGGAAAGCCTCCAACGATCGATGGCCAGCGAGGCAGAGTCACTGAGAGAGGCACGTGCTAAGATCATATCTGCAGAGGGCGAGGTCTTGGCCTCGCAATCACTGAAGGAAGCATCTGATGTGATGTCTGAAAACAAAATAACCCTTCAAGTGAGACGAATCTTAAAACTACTATCATCCCATACAACATGACCAGCATTTAAATTTGCAGTTGCGGCACTTGCAGATCTTAACATCGATAGCTCATGAGCGGAATCTTACGATATTGTATCCATTCCCAATGGATATGATGGCGCCGTTTCAAGGCGGTGGTTCAAAAAAAGCTAAGCAAGAAAATGACCCACCGGTAAATGCTTTTGAATCACTTATTTCATCGGTTGTTCAGCCAGTTGTTTGGAATAAGCACGATCAAATGTCTAAAGAAATTGAGACAAAGCCAACTGCAGAGCCACAAAATTTAGCTGAAGAGCAAGCAAATCCAACAAAGAAAATTGAGCAAGTTTCTGATTCGATATTATTTATTGACAGTATGATCTTAGTTTGCATTTATTACAGTTCCTACAGCCGATAATAAGTATTAACTTTATCATATTTTCAGAAGAGCGACCAAATTCAACTAAAAAAACGGACCATATTTCTGATTCGATAATATATGTTGACAGTATGATCTTAATTTTCACCAATTGCAGTTCTTACAGTCGATAACTATTATTAACTTTATCTTATTTTCAGAGAGAGCAGATAGGGGAACCCAGAGCTAAGTCCCACATAAATTGGGAAAACCTAAATAAAATTTAAGTTAGTGATTTCACCGAGATGATCAATCCTTATCCTGTGATTATATTAATTGTTTGTATCTTGCCAAAGTTATTTTAAATAAACGAGGGTGGATTATTTTAAGTAGTTGTTTTAACGAAATAAATGCTAGTAAGAAAAATTATAATAACTAACTGATTTGCACTATCCGTATAACTCGTTGCAAAAGGCAATGGTCATTTCCTCAATATTAAGTTAATTAGATTTCTCCATAAGCGTCATACCTCAATTGCTTTGTCCTTAATCGCATCAAGCTTAACAAAGGACCCGGTATTAAGCTGTACGACAGAGCTCAGAGCTTTGTGGGCGGAGCAAAATTTAGGTTAAAGTATCACGTAGCTTGTCGCTGGAACATGTGCGTCAACATAATTAACTGTAGAACTCTGCAAATGTAGTATTTAATTTTCATAATCCGCAAGTGGCAGTCGCAACAAATTGCTGCCACAAATGAACGTGTTGCCTGTGTCAATGTGCTTTAAATGTGTGTGTGTGTGTGTTTGTGCATGGCAAATTGACAAAGAATGTTAAAACATTCCTTAACGTTTCAAAGCGCAAGAAAATCACCGGGACATCGTTCCACCCGACAAATATTTCAAATTACTTTTGAAGGACTTTGATTTTTATGAAATATTTTCACATCTAAATTTTAAATCTTACGAAAAAAAAATGCGTAAGAAGGGATTTCTTTTCTGTACTTGACTGGCCTCCGAGCACTGAAGAGGAATTGACTTGTTAATTTAATATTATATTTAAATTCTAAATATGAGTGAAAATATGTGTGAAAATAATTATTGAAAGCTCTACAAGAAGTTGAGTAATATACTTGTAAACCAAAATTGTTATACTCTCTGAAAGGCCATAAGAATATACAGCCAGGGGCGGAAAATAAATGAAATCTGATACATTTTAAACATGCAATAAAATGAAAATATTTTGCGCTTATACATTTTTTAAGTATGCCTGATCTGAAGACATAAATTGATACAAATTGTTACACAATATTTTATTCACATAATAACAGTTTGGTTGTTTTAGTGGGACTTGCTGAGTTTCACAACTGGTTATTTTGAATTCACACTCATTTGAGTTTGAATGCATGTGTGTGTGTGTGTGTGTGTGTGTGTGTGTGTGTGTGTGTGTGTGTGTGTGTGTGTGTGTGTGTGTGTGTGTGTGGAGTGTGTGTGAGTGTCTGTTTACGAGTGTGCGTTAGTCTTGTGCGTGCTTTTTCCTTCGAGCGTGTTCGAGGGCAGGTGGAGCTCACCACACGGCACACACTCACACATATACATAACGCACGCACACACACACACACACACACACACACACACACACACATATGAATTCATTTTGGCAAACGTACATGTTGCTGCAGCTGCTTTGAACTTCTAATGAAACACATTCGCATTCACACTCACATTTGCATGTCCCCCCAACCATTCACAACGCTCCATGTGCAGCCACAATTTGCATTCGCGACTGTTGGAGCCAGTTCCAGTCAGCGATGCATATTCAAATTTGATTTATGCAAATGGCAGACGCAGCAAGTGGCAACTGGCGAGGGACGAGCAGCAAGAGCAGCAGCACCAGCAGCAACAGCGCTGCTCTCTTCTCTAAGCCAATATTTGCACATATGATTCCGCCGACCCCGCCCCTTGCCTGACCAGCTAATAGCAAATAAGCCATACCTTATACGTTATTCGGGCTGTGTACCAATTGGGAATTCTTTAATTCACATTAACACCCAGAGAACAAGTTGTTTCCTATACATACACACGTATACCCTTGGGGGGCCAGAGGGATATTCTGCCACTTGACGTTTGGTCATTTCAGTTGTCATTTGGTTTTCTTTTCATTTTGCCTGAAAAGAGTCACCGGCTGACACATATCCATAGTGGCCGAAAATGTTCTGCCATCTGTTAACCTAGACGCACAGCTGTCAGTCCATTGGGTTCATTTTGTTTTTAAGGTCTTTAGTTTTTTGATTTTGTGCACTTTGTTCCGTTTGGCATTTGACCTCAGCACGATTTTATTTTTGGGTTCTTTATTGGCGAGTCAAACTGACATTGTTCATCTTTGTGTTAACCTTACTGCATTCGATTTCATGTTTGTCATTGTCAATCTCATTTATCGACATTCGTTTTATTGGTCCAACAATTTGAATGGAAACTGCCAACTCCCCCTTCCGCCCTGCCTCGATTATTGCCTCGTTTGGTTGTTGATTCATCCAAGGTCGCCTCGTAGCATCGTCTCTTGGCACTGAAAACTAGTTTCACAAAACGAATTTTTCCATTTTCCCTTTTGTTATTTTTATTTTGCTTTCCCCAATTTAGGCAATTACTTTAAAAGTCATTTTTGTTCAATATGTGCTCTGACAAATGTGAACAAAAAGAGCCTCTTGTCTATATTTATTTCTTTTGACGTTTGCTTATCGCTTTTTAAGTGAACAAATCGTAAATATTATTTATGTATTTTACATATCCTTGGGCTATTAATATTAATACAATGTTGAAAATAAGTTACTTGAGTTTACACAACTTATACACAGTTGCAAAGTGATAGAAACATAATCTCTAAATTCGAACTTCAATAGCTGCTGGTGTGCATAAAACTTTGCAGTTGACTCAATACATTTAAAGTCATGTTTACTCTCTAAATGTGAACTGAAATACCCGTTTTAACAAGTAAAATATCCAAAAATGTAAAATTTAAATCGTGATTAAGCTTATAAGAATAAAAAATAAATATATCTGTTTATAATGGTGATTTATGCCCTCAAATGTTTTAAACGTGTACAATTCAAATTATTAGTTATTAGGAAAGAGAGAAAGAGAGAAATAGAGAGAGAGAGAGAGAGAGAGAGAGAGCCAAGTGTCCAAATATTTTGCAAGACGAGAGACTCAGGTTTTATAGACAGCGGGGTAATTAGGGCAATTGCAGCTGGCACAATACCTGTGGGCTCCACGTGAGATTTAAGTTGTTCTTTCCATGTCAAACCAGTATCATCAAGCACCAACTGACTCAGAGTAAGCATTGCTGCACTTGTCTCAGCAAATATTGGACATGTTGGTGATAGTTGCTGACGCATTAGTAGAGTTATACAACAAACCTCCGAGGTGAGCAAGGCTTTGAGAAGACCCTTCAAATGGTACAGTGGGAAAAGGGGAGGTGGCTGAAGACAGTCAGATTCTGGGGCTGAGGCCAAAACAAATTGTGTGCTGCCGAATTCTGGCAGCGCATGTTATTAACATGACATTTATGCAGGCACACAAAGGTGCTCGACTTTGTGCCAATCTCTGGCTGGGTACTATGCGGCATAAATTAGCTGCCAGCCGGAGCCGCATTGTGTCAAAAGCAGATCCTAACGACACTGAAAACATGTGTCGTCGCTTGTCAGACATACAGGCAGACAGACAGTCGGACAGAGAGACAAACTGACAGACAATCGTACACAGAGCAGCCATTGAAATAACTTGCAAACACTCAAACTTTATTCGTGACAAAGTGCCAGTCGAACAAATCGGACGAATGGAGTGGTTGAGGGGAGACCAGACAACTGGGCGTATACGCAACGTATTCTGTTTACCATGCGTAATGCGAACGAAGTTGTCTCTGTGTCTGTGTGGGTGTCTCTGTGTGGTTGGAAATTTCGTAGCCACAACTAACTCGACATCTTCTTCTTTCCCATAAGAGTTACTACAATTTGTTTGCCAACAAAATCTTTCGAAGCCTGTTACGTATGTCGTTTCTTAATGAAAGACGTCCTTCCCTCCTTCCACCCTGAAAAACATTCGCGGGCGTCGCCAATGTTGTGTCATCTTAAAATGATGTTTGTTTCCTGTGACTTTTGTTAAAAGTTTATATTAAGCCTCTATCTTTTTATGCCAGCTATCTAGAGTTGAGCGCGTGATGAGATTCGTTACAAAACTTAAATAAGCTCAATATCAGATTTAAAAAATTGTAATAATAAAATTTTAATAATAAAGAATTATTAATAATTTTAACAAATGAATTGCATATTGTATTATAATTAAATTTAGTCTTATAAAAGAGACATAGAAACTAATAGAAAAATGCTCAGACTTATGGTTATAGCCTTCTTCTTAATAATTATTAGTCAAATGTTTAAATTCACTAATTAATTAAAACAACTACCATTGTTCAATTAACTTACCTTATTCCTTTTGTTTGGTATTTCTTCTTATTCTGTCATATTTTCGTTAGAGGGTCTGTCATCTTTACTGCAGACTGTCAACGCTCTGTTTGAAAGACAGTCTGCAATCGTCATTGGCAGCCGCATAAGGTTTTGAAATCTCGCTGTCCGGAGTTGAAGTACAATTTCATTAACTAAGTGGCCTTAGCAATTAAGTTTGTGCATTTTGGAATAATATAAATTAATTAGAATATGCTAATGAGCTGCTTTTCGCAATATCACCGTGCGTACTAACAGTAGAAAGGCATCTGTACCCAACCTGTGCCCACAACCACCCGCCCCCCTCAAGCATCAATGTTGCTAAGAGCGACCAACATCGAGAGCCGAGTTAATTTACTTGAATAAATTAGCGAGCACTGCAAGCGAATCCTCTCAAGCATTTAAAGCTCCCATTTGTTGACTGTCGCCTTAACAGACATCTAGCCATCTTACCCCCACACTCTCGCACTTAATTCGCCTTGGATCTCAAATGATTCTGCAAGCTTCACCATTCAGGCCGAGAGAATCTCTAGACAGTCAAATGGACTTCAAGTATTTTGCTGTAGCAAGGCAAAGTTTTTGCGCCATGTACTCAATTAGAATATTTATTACTTGTACACCTAAGTTAATTTCTATTGTGCATGGTCTGGATCTCAAATGAAATGGTTTCTATTTATATAGAAGGTGTTCATCAAGTTGTAGACAAGTATTGTGAGCATGGGGACGCTGATATACTTTCTTGTGTATATAAATAGAATAGTTTAGTAGGAGTAAATTAATAAAATCAAACTCAAGTTCACTAGTGAGTCGCTAATGTGAGCATAAATATAATCAAAGAAGGAGCCAAGGGTGTTACGTAAATAAATATAAGGATAAATACTTATATCAGTAGATGAAAGAGACCAATTACAGTTTAATAACATTAAAATAATAGAAGCAATTGTCGCAGCTTAAAATTGATAGGTCATTTTAAGTAGATATTTAAAGTAATCACAAATGCGGTAAACATCGTTTGGAAAGAGCGACAAACAGGATTAATATCCTTAAGTAAGATAGATCAACGGACAAGCTACAACTTACGCATTCATTGAGATTTTAATAGATTTACGAACTGCTCAGCAAAACAGAACACGTTCTTAAGTTCACAGACACAGCATATGAATGGAAAGTTTGCTCAAGATTGCGAGTTGAATGGCCTATTCACTCAGGCGTTAAGTTATCAGATCATCGATTGCCAACATGTTACACCTAACTTGATGCGTGTGTACAATTCATTAGATTTGTGTCATTTGCATGCAGACGATGTAATTTTCTATGGAATGTTCCACTAACGGCATCACTTCGATGTCGCTGTCAATAGATGCTCGAAAAAAGTCAATTCAGACTGAAAACGACTATTGCATTAATTCGGGCCACAAAAACGAAATTCTTTGCAATTCGACAGACTTTTTTCTTCACTGTACGTGCAGCCCATTAACTTACTGGCTTGCTGCCTGTGTGGCTGATTACCCCACTATGTGGCTGGCTGCTTCACCAGCATTGCCCCATTTTTGTTGCCGGCGCATCAGTGTGGAACGTTGCAAAGCGACGTCATTGACATTACAACTGAGAAAGTAGAGAACGGCGAATTCGAATTTTCCTTCGATGATTTAAACCAATTTCGGGCAATAGCCAAATTCATTTTGTCGTCTTTTTAGTGGACCATAGTTGTCCATCCTTGACTACTGCTGTAAAAAACCGCAGCTGAAAGAAACGAACGGAAAACATTTCCGGAATGACAACCGAACTGTTCAAAAGAAGTTTAAATTTACAACCAGTATTAAAGTTTAAAGTGGTATTTGCTTTACGGAACTTTATCCTTTCATTCGTTCATTCATGCTTCAAGTTTTAACTGTCGAGTTCTCGAAATTCTCTAGCTAATAATGTGGCTGACGGTGAATTTTAATAGAAATATTTGCAATAAAGTTATGCCAGCTAACTGGCAACTGGTAATTGGAGCTGTTGACGTTGAAAAATGGCTGAAGCTATGAATTTAAGAGATTTACATCGTTTGTGGCCAGTCTGCCGGTCAGGAACGAGGAAGAAAATAAATTTTCAGACTGTTATAATTTAATGATAAATAAATATAAACTTTATTTTAACCGGGTATTTAAATTTACATTTACTTTAATTATCCGTTGAGAAAATTTTATTACGCCGTTAAGTGATTTATAAGAAGCAGGCTGAAGACTGAAAAGATCCGCTTATAATTGAATGCTAACTGAGCAATTAAAGTTTTATATGTTCAATTGACACAGATAAAACTTTTGCCATTATATACAATTGTTACTCGACAATTATAGATATTCAGTCGCAATTTACACTATCATTAATTTCTTATCACATCTTTCTTTACCGAGCTGTCGGGCAACAATCATTAATTAAGCGATAATTGAACAATGAATATTAAAACAGAGGTTTTTACTAGTGTAAATATGTATCATAATGGACACTTAAAATTTAGAGTATATAACAAATTTAAGATATAGTTAAATAGTAAACATATGCTGATTAAATAATGAAACTTTCATATAATTTATTAACTATATTTTCAATATTAATTGTGATCTAAAGTAAACAAAAATAACTTTTGGTAGCTCAAGAAAAATGCACTCTACTAAAAAACAAAAGACCAGCCAACAGTTAATCGTCATCATCATCGGACAGCAGTTCGGACAAGCTGAGATCTGAGGAGCGTTTCTCAAGATTCTTGTCGACCTTAGCGTGATCTGACGGGACAATAGGTAAAGCGTACATTCTCAGGTACATTGACACTTTATCACGGAACTCCTGCTCGGACTGCCGCATAATGGACGCCGCACGATGATTGAGCGGATCGTGCGGATTCGGATGGCGCAGCAGCTGCGGCAAAAATGTTTCGAATACATTTACCAGATCATAGGTGGCCGACCAGGCCTGCTTGAAGACGTTCATGCAAACGAGACCGGTGTTGAAATCGATATTCGGATGCAGTATCCTTGTAACGAATCTAATGCGTGGCGCCTTCAATGGATATTCTTGGGGCATTGTCACGCTAACCGTCCAAATGCCACCCTCGTAAGCAGTGCCCATTGGTCCCTCGAGGCGCACCTCCAAATTAGTCAAGTCGTCGTTAACGATGGTTTGAAACCCAGCAGCCAACAGTCTGTTTACGTCCCGGCTCAGACGGCGTCCGGACATGGGAGAGGTTGTGTTCACGACTACATTGGCCATTTGGTCTCCTGTTATCCCACGTGTGTCTCCGTATCGAAGCTACTGAGAGTTTGAGTGCACTCGTCCGTTCCCAGCGATACCTTCAAAAGAATTCATCTGGTAATGTTTTGGTTGTTGAAATTAGTTTTTATTCTCCACAATATTAATAAGAAGAATACTTACATAAAAAAGAAACAAAAATTTTGTAACTAAAACATTACAATTACATTTACCTATATATCAATGCCTACTTCACGGATCAAATCTGTCAACCACTCAAACATTTCAATTAAAAATATCAAAAGTTATCTACTCAGTTTTCAGTCTAGCGCTGTCTATGTTTCTTAAAGCATTTTCTGGAATCGTTTTAAACTATTTTCTATCTTGTGGTTTATTGGTGTTTTTGTGTTTTGGACATTGTCGCATTGCGCACAAATAAAACAAACAACATTTTGAGTGTTCGAATTGAGATTGCTCGACTAGAAAATAGGCTGTACTCGTATTGGTTATATCTTCGGGTTAATATGTATAAAAACTTAAGCTTAATGAAAAATAATGAAATTATCGTAAAATATTGAAGTAATCATCGAATTTACGGTCTTCGAATAATTTCTAAAAGATCATCATGCTGGCTTGCACTATCTTAAACATTTTTATCACTGCAGGAATACAGATGTCAACAATTAATTTGAACACACATACCAAATTCAGAATCGGAATTAAGTTTCAATAATATTTGCGATAATTCCCATGGACATGTATAAATTAAACATTAAATTGATCTAGAGTTATACATATAAAATATATAAAGTTTTAAGCTTCAAATGTGTTTCTTTCGCTTAATTTCTAAAAGGTCATCACGCTCACTTTCTGATAACAGGGTAGATAAAAACATTTTGGCACAGCGCCGAACCAAAAATGCATTAATTGGGAGTGGGTTAAATGGAAATTGTTGGCTGCGCTGCCAAATGCTTGTCACTGACTCTCGGGGTCAGCAAATAGTTATGAATGTTTTTATATGCTTGATATATTTTTAGAATCTATTCTAGAGAGCCCCGAGCTCAGAGTCGAATGCATTTCTGATTGTCAGCAATAGATAAACATTTGCTGTCCGCCAACTGCAGTGAATGGTGTATCTAAGGGATTGCTAGATAACATTAATACGAGTGCATTAAAGTTAAATGGACTTTCGACTAAATGCTGCAAATTGCTGTCATAGCAAACAAAAACACGTATACATTTCCAGTTGCAGAGAAACAAAAGACCAGTGTCTCTGCAACAGCAACAGCAACAGCGACAGCAACTGCAACTGCATTTGTAGCCGTATCTGTATCTGTTTCTGTATCTGTATCTGTTTTTGTAACCCTCTCGTTCTCTCTCTCTGGAATTGCTGTTAAAACAATGGTGAATTACGACTAGAAAATTGTTAAAAATGTCAACGATGCTTCCATTGCTCAAATCCTTCTCCCTGTCGCGCCATTTCTGTGTCCAATTCTCCTTGCAACCCATCGCCACAACCCCCACGCAGCTATGTCTGATCTGGCTGCCTCTGAGTCTTTGTGAGTCTGCGTCTGGAATGCGCATTGTTGCAGTTTTCACAGTTGAGTGCATTCATTGTTTTCGCTGTCAGCGCTCCGCGTTTACAATGAATAATTAGAATTTTTTGATGGTTTTTACTTACATACCACGTATGCGACGGTTAGTCAATGGGTATATTTTTTAAGCACAATTTTAGTATTTGCAGAGATCAGAAAACATAAATTATTAATATAGTATTAAACAATTTTAATACATAGTTGATCATTTATATGTTTATAAAGTTCAAGCTTATAATGAACAATTTTTTATCACAAATATAAACTTTTCTTTTAATTTTTACATCATTTTAACTATGATATGTAAATTACAAAGTGGTATTCTCATTTAATAGAAATTAAAAGGATATATCATGTATTTATTTATATGAATATAAACTTGAAGTTTATAATACACCATCTAGCAAAATTATATGAATATGCTAGGATAAAATACAGTTAAGCATTCGCTGCAGCAAATGCTCATCTTGTTTATCAACTGTTGACGTACATCATTTCATTGCTACATATCATTTAAGTGCTTGAGTAACAAATACAAATTTTCATTTTCATGTAAATATCCTCCGCCAACTTAGTTTGACTTTATTCACAAAAGTAACTGCAATTGTTGTGCATTGAAAATAATAAAATAAATTATGTATAATGTAATGTAATTTTAATATTGATAACTCAGTGCGCACTATAAAAGTGCCCTATTTCGATTCAGCTGCAGAATTGTCAATAATCAAATTAAATTTGATAATCAAATAAAATTACAATTCTTATGGCATTTTGTGCACAGTCAATTGGCAACAGTTTGCCAGCTGTAAGTGAAGACGACGAGCGTCTAAATGTGATTTTCAAGTGTATAAATTAAATGCTTAATAGATGCCATTAAGGATGTTATCCGCCATTAAAACAATATGGAAGCACAGACTACAGCCATTGCTTCCATACCAACGCGGAACGAGACAACAGAGAAATGCGATTATCGCGCGAAATGAACGTGAAATTAATGCAAACTACGCGGCCGTCCAGGAGCCGAAACCGAAACCGAAACCGGATACTCAGACTGCGAATTCAACTGAAGACTGAGCCAAATAATGGTATAGAGATGCCCTCATTCCCCCACTGCCTTCGCAATGACATTAAGAAATAAGCCAGAACATTGGCGTTAATTTTAGACGATTTTTTTTTAATATGACTCTGTTAACTCTCGGTAATGAAGTTGTTTCGGTGTTTAACCAACGCCGGCCACGCCAGAGGCGGCTACAAAAGTAGCAAAACTAAAACAAAAAATAAAAAAAAAGGGTAAATTTTCCACGGCACCGAAACAATGGCTTATGGCAAAGAGCAAACAACGCCCAATGTTGCCACCAAACAATGGCTCAAAACAATGGCCAGCGACAAAAAGCAAGAGTCATAAGAATTATTCACAGCGGATAAGAGAAAATCGACAGCCTTTGGCACAAGTAACTTGAATGCATTTTAGTTAAAGCTTGTAACATTGTTAAGAGGGCATTGGACACATATGCATATATAAATTTAAATTTGTCAAAATTTAATTGCCGTGTCAGAACACAAACAAATCAAAATATAATCAACAGCAGCAAGCATTATTTTAAGTTGTTTTCACTCAACAGGTGTATACAAAATACATCCCCTTTAAATGCATTGTGTTTCATTTGGATAAATTAAACACAATTTGAAATTTTATTGAATGTTCGGCAGGTGCAAAGAGAAACCGTTACTTTTTAAGCTTTTACATTAAGAAAGTCGTGGGCATAATTTAAGTACGGAACTTAACGTGCCTCAAAATCGCTGGGCGTACCATACAAACTAAATTGTTGCTGTTCGCTGGTAATAAAATATTTGTCGAGCGCCATTTACAAAGTCATTTGCAAGCTCAATGTGCTTTCAAAGTAATGCGCTCCACCTGCCCTTTAACCGCCTCCGCCTCCAGCCCCACTTTTCCGTTCAGCTCCCCCCTCCCTATCCCCATTCCCCCATCTACCAAGGATCGCAACCCAAAGCCGTTGTTTTAGTCTTTATTGCTTTCGCTTTTTGGTAGCAGCAGCGAAAGCGTTTACCATTTTATGGTCTCGTTTCAAGGTTTGCTTTTCCCTGACACCCCAGGTAACTGATCCGGAAAAGGTACAAATGTAGGGGCTGCATGTACACAGCGAAGTCCACACAGGTGTAGGTTGAGTTGTTGTCGTTGATTTAAAATGTCATAAATACTTAGCTACTGCCTACATGGCATTACATAAAATGTTCTAATTTTTTCAAAGATACTCAAACATTATACATTCCATTAAATTTGACTATGTGAAGCCCAGATATTCCCCAAATATAAATTTCTTCGCATTTCAGTTGCACTTTAAATAAAATGTAGAAAGCCGCTGAGCTTGAAATAATTACCCAGATTTTACAATAGAAACATTTTGACAGTCATCTAATAAGCGTCGTCGGCACATATCGCAATCAGTTATTTGAACACAATTGCGCAAAACTTTTGCAATAAATCAGAGAATTTGTTCCACATAACAAGCAGCCAAAAACTTTTCTGTCTCGGTAAATCGAAATTTGTTTACAATGCTGATGGAGGCAGCTGCTCTAAAGTAACTCTTACTGCAGTTTGGATCCTGATCCCCACTGAGTTCTGAAATTGGAGTATCCTTCCCAACATCCATTTTCAAATGATATATACAATAGAGCAGAAATCTATACAATCTCTATGGCTTAAGTGTGTGTAACAATATTAACAACAACATTAGCTAAGAAAAAGTTTAATTTGATTTTCGGGTACCTTAAGTTCTGCTTCCAAAATGTAAACTTGTGCGTTGAATAAGTTTAGTATATATTATATTAATACTTTTGACTGACTTAATATGTGATATTCATAATATATAGACTTGAACATTTTAATTTAATTAACTTTTGATCGTATACCTATTTTATACTTTATTTTGGATACGTTAAATTGGGTTTCCACTAATTTGAATTTAATTTGACATTTAAAAATTGTTCATTTCTGCTCAAAGTTTTTCTTTAGTTCAGTATTAAATAGATTTTTTTCTCGTTGAAAATTTGTTTTGTACTTATTCACTACACACATTGCACGAGACGTAGTGTAAGGGGCGGGGCGTAGCACTTGTCGGGGGTACTTTGAGTGAGAACGCGGCACGGGAACTCGATAGTTAGTGGTGCTCAATGAACACATTCAGTGCGTTCAGCTAGAACAACAAAAATAACTGAAAACGCTTTAATACTGTGGATTAGAATAAAAAAATTAGCAGTATAAATTGCATTTCATATTATAAGAACTCTAAATAAAGAATTTAAATATATAAGAACACGTTCAAAAAATTTGGATAAAATTTAATGTATAATAATGTACGAATATATTAAATATTCGGAGACAAATCTTCAGTGTGACATTATTAAAAACAAAATTTTCAATTTTAAATGTAAAATCAAATAAATTATTTATTTTTTTAAATATTTACTGAACGCTTAAGGAAATCTAAGCCGATTTAAAATTTGGGAGATTGTTTTCCCGTTATCGTTGTAACTTTGGAAATAATTAAACAAAATTGTTAAAGTCAATTTTAGAATTATTATAAA